AAAAAAAAAAAGAGAAGGTTTTTCTCCCATCAACTTAGGCGTTCTTTGCCTCTCCTCCAGATAAATAACCTTATTAATTATTTAACGTAGGTGTCTCCTTACAGGAGCAATAATGACTGACCATCAGTGAATTAAATAGGGTTCATTTCCTAAATACTTACATTTCAACATATTTTATACTAAGAAACAATATTGTTGGCACTTGAGTGTGAAATTGTGTACGTCAGAGGTATGAAGTATAAGTTAAGTTGAGCCTTTGCACTTTACGATGGCAATATGTACCTTCATTTAACAAATAGTGAAAGAGTGCTGGCTATTTGGAAAGTGCTGCCTGTGAGGAACCCACCCATGAGGTGGACAGCCATAGTCCCTCTCATCGTGGAGCTCACAAAACTGGGTTGTATTGTGGTCCTTTTAATGATGGATGTAAATGCTGTGCATTAGGTCTCTCTTCTAGCCCAAATATTCTCTGACAAGAGAGCACCTTGCATGCTTCCTTCAGAAGGCTGTTAGAGCAGCCCAAGCTAAGAGGTGGGTCTCCCTAGGATCCCGCCCAGTCCTTCCAGAAGCGTACATTGCTAGCAACTTCCAAAGTGTGAACAGAAGATAGAGTGAGGAAACAGAAATAAGTAAGTTTCTGCTTCCATGCAGTTTTCTCTTGAGGCAACTTCTTTGCTACATTTGCCCATTTAAAAATACATAATTAGCAGGCAAGGAAACAGTATCAGATATTAATGCTATAAATATCAGGCCTGCAAATAAAGTTTGAAATAGTGAAAAAACACTGTTGGATATCTTGATGGTTACCCAAAAATGTTCAGTGTATTTCTTTCTTGAGGTTGTTTTTAGATAGTGAGACATTTACGTCTGTTAGCAGTGTTCTGTGTTAGAATTTGAGCGTCTGCTTCCAGCTTCATTGGAACAGATAAATGAGATTGGAGGCCATGCTGTTGAGAGGGAGCATGGTAGCAGTTGCAAGTTACTGTTTCCAGGGACCCCCTAATGCAGCTGCACATTCCTGTGAACCTGCTTAGTCCTCCTCCCCTGGAGGCCATCAGGTACCTTTCTCTGCTGTGTCTGTGTATAGAACGTGTTTGGTTGTGTTCATTGTACACGTCTTACACATATTCTATTAGACTTATTCATGTGCATTTTATTTCTTTATCTTGCCCTATTACCATGGCTAGAGTGTTCAGTACAGTGTTGAATAAAAGTGAGCGTGTACCTCCTTACTTTGCTCCTTATTTTAGGGAGAAGGCAGACAGGCTTTTACCACTGTGGTGCCAGGTTTAGGATATTTGTAGATACCCTTTATCAGGTTGACACATTTTTCTTCCATTCTTAGAATGCTCAGAGTTCCATAAATGAATAATTAATTTTATCAAGTGCTTTTTTCTATATCTTTTGAGGTGATATTATGATTTATCTTTTTAAATTCTTGATATAATGAATTTCATTGATTTTTCAAATGTTGAATCTGCTTAAGTTTCTAGAATACTAAATTATACTTATCTTGATATCTTATTCTTTAAATGTATCGAGGAGCTCCGTGGTAATCCTAGTACTTTGGGAGGCTGAGGCTGGAGGGTCACTTGAGATCAAGAGTTTAGGACCACACTGGGCAACATAGTGAGAACCCCCTTTCTACAGAACTTTTAAAAATTAGGTAGGTGTAGGACCTTTAGTCCCAGCTACTTGGGAAGCTAAAGCAGGAGAATCACTTGAGCTCAGGAATTCAAGGCTGAGATAAGCTTTGATCATACCACTGCATACCAACCTGGACAATTAAGCAAGGCCTGCTCTCTAAAATTAATAAGTAAAAATGAGAATCTATTGTTAGTTTGATTGGCCAGTATTTTGTCAAGTATTTTTGCATCTTTCTTTATGAGGGATATTGGTCTGTAGTTTTCTTGTGATGTCTTTGGTTTTGCTTTCGGGGTAATGTTGGCCTTACGGAATTAGATTTAAGATGTTCTGTCACTTTTTTTGCAATAGCTTTTGTAGAATTGTGGGGTTTCATTCATTCATTTCATTCGTTTACTTACTGGGATAAATGTTTGGTAGAATTTACCAGTGAAACTGTGTGGGGTAGGTATTTTTTGATGTGTGTGAGAAGATTTATAACTACAAGTTTGGCCTATAATATATACAGGTTACTGGCTCGGCGCCTATAGCTCAACCGGC